TGACAAGTTGTATTTATTAACCATCATTTTATTATTGAAACGGTCCAAGTGCCTGTGGTGGCCGCGGCAGTCTCATTATCCAGCGCTACTGCGCATGCGTCACGCATGCGCACGAGGTGCTAGGGGTAATTTCAGACTGGGGGTAATCTCAGACCGTGACACCGGGCATATATAGCCACTGTGTTTATAGCTCCTTGCAGGCTACAGCACACGGATACTCGCGAACCATATCTCAATACTTGCATACTTTCATATGCAATGACATGCTTAGTGATAAGCTCCTACCGGAACAACAATAACTAGCTGGTTTGACTGCCAAAGCAGGGACCTGAAGGAAAGTTCTTCTCCTTGAAATTTCAGTAAAGGCACGCAAAGAGAAGAAATTCCTTACGAGGCCAGCCATGATTTCATTTAACAAGATGACATCCGTATCCCAGCATTCCCATCTCTTCATCGGTCCTATTAAACAGCGAAATGTGCTACTAAACAGCGAAATATAAAGGAATGTGCAAGAATGTGCAGGAATGTGTGCGGAATGTGCAAGAATGTGCGCGAAATGTGCAGGAATGTGCAAGAATGTGGCGCAATGTGCATCAATAACTGCCGCAATGTATCAAAATGTGTAAAAAATGTTATACTAAACAGCGGAATGTGCGCGGAATGTGTAAGAATGTGGCGCAATGTGCATCAATAACTGCCGCAATGTATCAAAATGTGTAAAAAATGTTATACTAAACAGCTAAGTAGCACATTTCGCTGTTTAGTAGGACCTGCACTCATCAGATAACATGGCGACCTCCATGAGTTTTCTTACAGCTTACAGGCTAGGAAAAATAACACAAAACTTGAAATTATCTGGGTGCAGGTATTAATACATACGACATGTGTGTAACCGCATGCGTTTCTGTTTCTGTAGTACGCTGCAGTATCCAAATTTAGCATCAAGGCAACGGAATCGAGAGATGTGTAATCGTTTATATATTAAATTATTAATATTATTATTAATTACGGTATTATTCGTTATAATGCGTTTCCGGACGTTAATGCGCTAGTTTGAGTAACTGCAAGAATTGGGGGCCCAGGATGTGCTGACACTGCTGATACTTTGAAACAGATGAGTCTGTCTGTGGAGAGAGCACTTAGAGGCGTCTTAGTTGCATACTCCCGCTTACTGATATCATAGAATGATACATTAATTGAACCACACTCGTGTTTGTACAACTACAACTTATGCTGATAGGGTCTATGTCCCCCAGGGTACTGCCGGAACGTACCCTTGGTACGGTCCGGTATACCGGAACGTACCCTGGTAACTATCTGATATGGCGAACCATACCTCGCTTACTCCCTACTGTACCCCGACTGTCCCTGTTCCGCTCACTACTGATGTCGCAAAATTTGAAATATACATACAGACCTGTATGATATCTTTATAAAGTTGGATTGGAGTATGAAACTGTGAAACCAAGAAGAAATTTGAAACCAAGATCGGGAATGCGTTTTCCTTTTGCAATGTTTACGACATTTTCTGTGCATTTTCGCGCGAGATTTTTGAAAGATGGCTCCAAGTGTTGTGGTGGAACAGTAAAATTTGTATGATTATCTTAATGGGTTGGAAACGTATAGACTCACTGACACTTGTAGAAAGGGTCGGGAGGTGAAACGTAACAGGGTAAGGGTTACGAATATTTTGCGGGAACGGATCGGAAACAAGGAACGGGAGCATAAAGCGGCGCGTTTCCTGCCGACAAGCGGTGTGTATTACGACATCGGCTGAAAGTCGGGGTACGGTTTGGAGTAGGCGAGGTATGGTCCGGCATATTAGATAGTTACCAGGGTACGTTCCGGCAGTACCCTGAGGGACATAGACCCTATCAGCACAACTTACAGTTACACTTACAAGATACTTGCCATCCATAAAAATTACAAGTGTCTGGTAATATTTTAATGTGCTTTTGATTTATTGTAGGTTAGGAGCATCAATTCAGTGCCAATTACGTGCACCTACACCATTACACAAGCTGTTTTCTACAGATGGTGGTCAAGACCAGCCTATTCAATATTCCACAAGTCTGGCAAAATCATGGTCTGTTCGGCAATCCTTTGGACCAGCTGGTAGTGTTGAAAGAAACTACAAATATGAGGCGTTTCGCTTGACTGTCATATTAGGAAGTGTATCGGCGTTTCTAATCTATTTCTGTGTATTACGAGAGGAAAACGATATTGACGATGAACTGGACGTGCCCTTGATAGATAGGATTAAAGGATTGGAAGAGACTCAACTGAGACAATCATTTGAGTACAACAGCTCCAAGGGGCTACCAACGGAGAGAATCGAACAAAGGCTAAAAGAGATCGAACTGGAAAAATCTTATGAGCAACAGCAGCAGGACAACAAATTATGAATTTATGTAACAGCAGTGTTGTTCATTACTAAGTTAGTTAATAGTTTGCTAAATGTGTAACGTAAAAATATAGAAATTTTTTAACATTACTGGCCTCTTATTGGATTGTATTTTTAAACAGATAGAAATCCTATTTATGTACCTAGTGTCATGGTTTAGGTTAAATTATTACTACATCAAAACAGCCTATAAAACCCAGCATTGCTATCCTACAGTTGTAGGTACAATACACTAACAGCATTGGTCAGTGCCAAGAATGCACTTCATGTATACTCACGAGGCCGTATTACATTACTCTTTCTGTCATTTAGCATACATACGTGGTTATTTCCATATAAACAGGAGAAAATAGTAGAAGTGCAACCCCATTATAAGACAATTGCATATATACAGGATTACATTATAGTGCAGTAATAAGGAGTCAAAACTTTCTGTTAACCAGATGGAAATGTGAATAAAACTTACGTTTATACTGTTATCGCCATGGTCTGACATACACGATTTCACACTGCCTAGATGAATATACTGATGCATATTTTTGAGAACTACAATAAAACCCCGTTATACCGCCACCATCGAGACTTAGGAAATATTGGTGTTATAACGAGGTATAGAAATTGCAGTCTAATATTACCACTAAATAACTTCCAGTTGCTAGAAAACCAATAAAAAAAGATGATATATGATTACTATAAACAGTTTTAATGACAAATAAAAATCATATTAACAAAAATTATGTTTTATAACAGAACTAGCATGATACCCAGCGTTGCCCGAGAAATAAAGTGAACTCGGTTGGTGACTGCTTGGTTGAAAGAAAAATACCAAAAAAAACTATATCTATCTATATATCTATCTATCTCACACTCTATCTATCTCTCTCTCTCTCTCTCTCTCTCTCTCTCTCTCTCTCTCTCTCTCTCTCTCTCTCTC